AAAAGGGCGCCAAGAGGCCCCCAAGACGGCAGTCAAGCCTGTTCATGGGAAACCACATGCGCGCGCGCCACTGCCGAATCCTTCTTAGGCTTCCGCAGCTAAGCAGCTGATTGCTTCTGCAAACGGTCCACAGGTCTTAGAAGTCGAGCTTGCCCAAGCAAACGAGCACCTGCAAGTAAGTTATCATTAGTGGCTCCTCCCTTTGCCCCAACCTGTGTCAACGACGTTGACACTTTTAATGTGCAATTGTACGTGCAGGCCTCTGAGAAACTTGTGGCTCTGCACAAGTTGACGGCGGAACTTTTCCATTTGCATGCTGAAACTGGTAACGCGGGTGGCGATGGAGTCGTCATGGTGGCGCCTTGGGATCCTAATTTTCACTACCGCTTTACCCTGGCTTGTGCCTTCATTTGGGCGCAAAGCATTGTAAGTCAATTTATTTGTATAACTGATAGGTGGTAAGTCTCACTTTAACTTTGGTACCTACAGGAACGATCTGAGGCCACCAAACACATGGCCCCAAATACTAGTGAGTACCGAACTGAAATTGCGAAGACAAGGATCTTGCATCCAGGTTTAAAGTTGAAGGATCGATTGAAATTACGATTTCCCTCGCCAATGAAGAGAAAGCCTTTGGCTAATGTTAGCGCGGCCAAAAAGCGCCCATTTGACCACTCACCGACTCGTCAACGTGGCCAAGGTGGGGTTTTTGGGTCTCAAAAGGGCTCTCCGTCTTCCCACCGCATTGGGTTGAACAAGTTCAAATCTGGTCAGTTTTAGTTCTTTTTCACGTACTTGGAATTAATCCAGGCAGTTGATTTATAATTGCATCACCTGTTTTTGCCTTCTGGCCATAGAAGACAAGATGATAAACTTGGTCTCGTCATCGCCTAATCAAGAGGTGAAACCACTGAGGTTTCAACCACGTAAGTCGTGATTTTTCTGCGACCTCTTTTGGTCATTGCTTACGTCTGCTTGCTTTCACAGGTGAAAGAAAGCAAGGTTCACCAAGGAAAGCTCATGGCCCCAAGAAGGCCAAGTTGGAGCCTGGTGAGTCTGTTGGTGACCTCATGGGTGGCCTGTGGCAACGCATTAACCATTGTTGTTTTTCTTTGTTTTTCTTTTTCATCCCCAGAATACAAGACCAAGATCAATTCCGGTATGTTAAAGTCTTTATTAACGTGCGAGGTCCGAAGTATGTAACTTACCACCTCCTTTCTTTGCAGACGGTTTCCTTCCCCCCGAGGACAAATTCTATTTTTTGGGGGAAGACGAGACTGTTTAATTACTCGGATGCTGTAATGTCTAGCGCCAATACCGACGAGCTCGAGCTCTTGCAAGAGCACGAGCATCTTCTGGATCAGTTTGTCAAGGAATGCGGGGTGACGAAAGACTTCAACCGCATTCGGAACGTCTTGATCAACTCGGGCATCAAATCCTGGATTGACCTGGTGCCAAGTGTGAAGATGACCGAAGCGGTCTTGATTGAGCATGGTGTCCCCCGTGAGGTTTCAACCCGCATGTTGCAAAAGGCGGAGGAACGCAATGTTACTGAAAACCAAAGTACGTTCCGCTTCTTCAAACATCTTGATCAAGACTTCGCAACATCAACATGTCCTGATCTCTCTGCGGCTCTGCACTTCCAGAAAACGTGGAATTGGCTAAGTAATTCCAAAACAAGCTTTGGGTAATCGAATCTTTACTAATCAGTTAAGATTCGAATTCCCCCTCAAACTCAAGCCGGGCTGTGTCCTATCTTCTTGTTCTTTCCTTTCTAATCGCTTTTTGGTCTTACATCATTCATATATGTTCCTTTTATATGATTTGTTATTTTGTTGTAACCATCTTGTCCGAAAGCAGAATCTGAAATAGATATTCAGAAGCACCCTGGCCCCAAGTGAACTTAGTGCGTAATGTCAAACCGTGTCACCTTACACATTGCCAATCAGCCCCCAACTTATATTTACTTTAATGATGATTCACATGATTACGTGATTACCCCAAAAAGTTGATCATACATGATCAACCAAATGTCGATCATGTATGATCAACTATTTTTTAAAAATCCCCTATTGATATCTCATTGATATATTATATCTCATATATTGTATCAATGAGATATAGTTTCGCGATTTGCATGGCCCATGAAAATCGCGAAACTATAGAGAGGTTTCTATGGAGTCATATCATTGATTTGATGAGATACACATATCAACATATGTGTTTCTCATGAACTCTGAAATCACTTGCTCTACCTTGATGCGAGAGCATCAAGGAAGCGCAAGAGATTTCATACATAAGGCCACCCTTGCTCCCAGCTTTCATGTGATAGCCCCAGGTTCCTCACACACTCCGTTTCCAATCTGATACCTCACAATTGCTCTTTCTTCAAAGATTGTTTCACCGTCACTTTAAAGCATTTAGAGATTTCTTCGAATAACTATCAACTGTATAGAAAAGATCATTACTTTCTACTTTATCATCTGCTATGGACGTTCCAAGCCAGGCAGTTACAAACCCAGGCGCAACGAGTAACAGGAGAACAGGGCTGTTTTTCGTTACCACCTGGGATGAGCTCGGCGAATCTTTTCTGCCTTCGACCGTAATGGCTGACGACTTCAATCAAAGCATACACTTTAGATTTGCTGGTTATGATCAAATCAGCGAGGCGAGAAGGAAATCTGATGGCCTGGCTGTAGCTATTAGAACTACTGTCTGCAGCCAACATTCTCATTCCACCGTACGCGTATTGAAAGATTTAATCAATATATTACCTCGGCTCAATCACCCTGCCATTGCTACATTTATTGGTCACATGGTTGATCCAAGTCAACTCCACTTTGTCTTCAACTATGATCCTCTGATCACTTCAATTGAGGCGCTTATTCTCACAAAGGACTTCGCTGAAGACGAGATTGGCCACTATGGCGCCCAGCTCGCCGGCGCCTTGGATTACCTACACGCCCAAAAATCCATTGTTCGAATCCTGGACCCTTTCGGCATTCTCTTGATGCCAGGATCAGTCATCAAACTTGTTGACATTCCTGCCATGGCCATACTGGGTGCCAACGGCCTGACTTCCGGGAATTATCGCCCATGTGAGGAACAGGCCCCGGAGGCGCTAGAAGGCCGTGAATATGGTAAATCTGTGGATTGGTGGGCATTAGGCGCGATGATGTATTACTTGAGCACAAAGGATAAACCATTTATGATCAGTATGTTTCAGCCTCAACTTCGTAAAATATATATTTGCAACGTGGCTAAACCTTGGATTTACGTATGTTTGTAGGCCCACATTCTCTTCCGGCATGGTTCCCCAACCCGATACTCACACGAAGTGTGCTTTTGCCATCACACATGTCCGAAGGCATGCAACAAGTGATCAAACACCTACTCAAGAAAGAACCAACTGAGCGCATATCATCTGAGGTTGAACTCAGAAACCTTCCGTTTTATTCAAATGTATGGCCTCCAAGACCTTCCAACAATTCATTTGTAAACTGAGTAGACGTCACGTGGGTTAGGCATGTTATTTTACTTTAAAACCACCCAAATACACGATTTTATGTATCTTTCTGGTCTCTTTCTGGTCTCGATATTTGGAAATCTTTTTGTTTGTAGACTTCAGATGACTTGAATTTGTTTTAAACTTTTTGGACCTAAATTTTGTTATTTTTCCCTCCTCATATATTGTTTCATTGAAGGGAAGAAATATTCTTCTATGATGATTTGTCAAAAAGTCCGCATGTACTCAAAGTAAAGTTGGTTTTGCTTATACTTTGTGGTTGGTCTCAAATACTCTCATAAAAACCAATGGCACAAGTGTGTAGATAAGGTAATTTATTCCTTGGCATACCATACAAAAAAACAAAGACTAAACTCAAAAACATAAGTGAGAGCAGGCACGACCAAAGCAAAAAAGAACATCAAAAAGGTAAAGAAGATGGTTGACATGTTTAATGATTTGGTGTGACTACACACATCTATAGATAAGACCTCCAAAGCTCAGCTCATAAATAACTGCACCCTCTAAAGAGAGACTCGCATAAGTCCGCAGTGAATAACTGCATACAAGTGACAAAAATCCTGGCCTCTTCTTCTTTGGCATTCAAACAATTTTGCATTTCTTGAGTTCTTTGTAATCTTGCCTTCATTGGGGAAAACCCCTTTTCGATTGCGTTGAAGTCGGGGCTATAAGCTGGAAGGTATATGAGGCGCACTCCACGGGCAGCGCAAAGGGCTGCCACGTTCCCCCCGTGATGAATCGGAGCATTATCCATCACTAGTACGCTATTTCTTTGAGGCCATGGGTTCATCGCCGGTAACTGCAAGAGTGAGCATTAGCAATGTAATAATCAATCATCGATAGAAAAAACCATTTACCAAATGATTTTCTAACAAATCCTCAAAATCCAGTCGGGACACCTCCAACAAATTTAAATTGCATTGTGGCATGCGCGCTCACGTCGCGTTTCGGGATGCGATTTCAGATCGCATATGTGACATGCGATGAAACGCCTGTGCGATGTGAGATCGCACAGGTTTCATGCGATCCAGCTTGTGAAATCGCATCCTTTTGTGCGATTTGACTCAGATCCGATTTAAAATCGCATAAACTCAGCGTGACCTTATCCTCAGGCGAATCAAGATCGCATTGGCTCAATGCGACTCAACCGCTCAGGCGATTCATGATCACATCAATCAAATGCGACTCAACTGCGCAGGCGATTCAACCCATGGGATCGCACCAAAAATATCCGAAAAAATTGTCTCATCGCTACACTTAAATGTGATCCAACCTCGCCTTTTTTCATGCGATTCTACCCCGGATTTATTATCGCATCCTCCCATCCGATTCAATCCCACTTGCCATTTATGAAGAAATGATTGAAAAGTTTCTTGATCAAATCACAAACTACACAATTTTAATTCTTGTATGTTGCCCAGCTTGAACTGTGACCTGGCCTTGAGAATGAAATCTTGATTGAAGGGCTAGCTGTGACGGTGAGAAAAGTTACTTTACCATCTTGTAAGATAGCTGGATTTACTATTGATGACAAAGGAGTCCAAATCAGTCTTCTTTACTGCTTTCATTTCACACTATAAGTTTTGAGAAATTATTTTGTACTTCTTACATATCCAGGAAGAATTCCACCAACATATTGAACTGTAGTAAGATATCTTCTATTACCAGTAGTGGTATGACATTCAGTAGCATTCCACCCAACCTCTGAAAGAAACACGAATTGCAAATGAGTAGGGACCTACAACAACTTGTGTTATACATGAAATATGTGTAATCTATTGGAATCAATACATATTTTTGAAAATGTAAACAAAATTTCAATGAAGGTCACTTTTAATTGTGAACTTCATGCAAAGTTCACAGAAAATTGGAGTTCACATTTTTTTG